CCAATTAGAAACCCTTATTTAGCAATTTAATTGCAGGATTCAGAATAACGATATTCGGAATGACAGAATGAGGAATGGCAGAATTCAATGATCTTAGGACTTATTTTTATTGGTAAATTTTATCTGCTAAATTAAGCCAGTGTAATTGTTTGAAACGTGTTCGATAGAATTGTGCCTCAGAATGGTGGTTGTGTGAGAAATGTCAAGATTATTTTTATTGATTATTTCCAGCAGTTAAGAATAAAGCAATCATTTTTATTATCTGGATATCAAATTTTCTTCACGAAAATTAAAACTCATTGTAACACGCGATTGAATGGCAAGAAACAACAATGACTCTGAAGCCAGTCATATCGTCTGGTAATTATAATTTCAATCATGTTTGCTTTCTGCCATTTGGATCAACCGCTCATCAAACTTTGAACTTCAGCGAGGGGAAGTTTGTCTGTCTCATTAACATTTTAGCGGACTTCACCGGGGCCTCCATCTCATTAACTGCGAGCTTCAAAGTGGATAATGTGATAGAGAGTACGTATCTACGCGCTTCTGAGTTGATAATGAGGTAGAGAGTAGGTTTCTACGCACTTCTGAGTAGATAATGAGGTAGAGAGTTCGTATCTACGCACTTCTGAGTAGATAATGAGGTAGAGAATTCGTATCTACGCACTTCTGAGTAGATTTGAGGTAGAGAGCACGGATCATTTTTGTTTATTACTAACTAAGAACTCGAATGCATTGAGCACGAACAGTCATTAAACTTATCCCTTATAGTATTATATACAACCCTTAATGGTTGAACCCAAAGCCTATATTCTGGGCTGAAACATTCCGAACATTTCAAGATAAAAGATAATTTTTATAAAGGGCTTCGTCGGAATTTCAATTCTCTAGCTCAACTTCTCCAGGAACTTCTTATTTCCCTCGTCTAAATGGACACCTTTTAACGAGGGTAGGTTTTGAAGGTCCCAGTGTGGCCTCCATGTCCTCAATTGCCGAGCCTCATTGGAGTTTTGTTTGGAATCTTGGGTGGCCAGACCTCGATATAAAGTTGTCAGCCATACAGAGGCTGCTGATTGCTAGGCCGCCAATTGAGAGGCAACCGACCGAGAGGCCACCGATTGAGGGGCCAGCAATACAGAGGCCTTTGATTGAGAGGTCACTCATATAGATGCCACAGTTTGAGAGGCCATTCATACAGTAGGCCACCGATTGAGGGGCCAGCCATACAGAGGCCACCGATTGTGAAGCCAACAAAACAGAGGCCATTGATTGAGGGGCCACTGATATAGAGGCCACCGATTGAGAGGCCAGCCATACAGAGGCCACCGATTGAGAGGCCCGTGTGTCCTTTCCTCGCTGACGATCTTCAAGCTGCAAACTGGGGAAACTTCAATTGTTTTTTTCTCGGCCTGGTCAGTTTGGAGCGATACCTAAAAATTTCAATTATTTTTTTTTTTCACAATTCTCATTCGTTTTTCCTGACAAGCAGAGTCTTGGGAGCGGACAGGAAGAGTCTGATTGGGACATGCTTTTTAAGCCAAAATAGAGCGCTGCCTCTCGCGAGAACTGGAGGCAAACCTTCTTCAGAATCCTATAGAAAACTCGTCGACTTGTTTCAACTTGCATAGTTAAATTGTTTAAACTCGCCAGGTAATTGAAAAATTATATCTTTCTTATTTTAGATTCTGGGATGATAAAGAATTGAAATAACAACGAGTATTGTTTTTATCATAAATAAACCATATCTTCTCTGAAGGAAATGAAAATTAATAAAATTACAATTCATTATCATACAAAGCGTGAATATCTTCAGCTGTCGCAGTTTTTCTTTCGTCTTCGCTGTAGCGGGAACAATCTTTATATATGTGCTAAATATAAGGGTTTCCTATTGACTTTCAGGAAAGCTATTTTCAAACAATAATCACTTCTGATAAATCTTCACCAATAAATTAACAGCAACTCTGTTTTTTAATATTCAGGAGCTCAGCAGTCACGCAAGACGCAAAAGATTTTCAATTGCATAGAAACGCGCAAACATTTTCCCTTCAACTTAAATTTCTAGTAAATTTCCTACGGCTTCGGCTGCCCAAACACTGCCAGGCTTTGTCCCGTAAAACTTGTTCAATTTATACGCAGCTCACCGCCTGAGAGGCAGCTTCCTTCCTCTTCTTTGCAGTTGCATCCACATTCAAAATATTTGTATTTGGCTTCTCAGGAATGCAGGTGAGAGCGGCTTCAAGGCATTTATACATTTTTGTAGTGTTCAATTTCATTGCAATGTTTAAAGGCCGGAACTTGTGGAATTATTTACCTCCAAACAATAATTCTAAGCTTGGAGTGAGAGAATTGAGATGCTTCGCCAGCGATCAAGAGAATAAATTTGCGTCTGCTAACAACATCAATGTGAAGTTAATGAGAACTCTGTTTTTAATAGTGGTATATAAACGGCTGATGTTGCTGTTCAAAATTTCCGAATTAATCCTTTTTTCGGTTGATCAGTCAATGATATCTACGCATTATGAGGAAAATATTTCAGGTTCGGCTGAGCTGTCCCGCTACAGTGCGCACATAAATAGGTTCCGCGTGTTATTGAATGCGATTATACATAATTTATTCCATCGATTAGGATGCCTTTTAATGCTGCAGGTGAGAAAGTAACTGCGGTAACAGAATTTTTTTTCATATGTTGTAAATGAAATATTACGTATTTAAGGTAAATTTTGGAACAGTAAAAAAAATTAAATTATCGCCATTTAGAGATAATAGTGAATGATAATAATAGATGATAGTGAAAAAATCTTCACAATTAAACAGTTTTTGAAGTCATAACCGCAAGCCCAAGTAGACTTTGTGCTGGAAATGCATTTTCTCTTCGCTTGCTGAGATCCGAGTGCCGGGGGGGGGGAGAGTAGGCCGCCCCTGATCGAATTGAGGCTCATTGGGCTTCCCTAAATTAGGAATGAAAATAGCGTGCAAGTAATCCCATGGCTCTGCATTTGCCTGATGAGTGGACGCTCTTGAGCAGTCGTCATGACCCACAAGATTTCTGACGTAGAATCAACGTTGAATTAAACTTTGTTTCTTTGAATCAACGTCGTTTCAACGTCGTTTCAACGTCGTTTGCCTGGTTGGGCAAGGCCATCTGAACAAATAAAAAAGGCTCGATGCTGGGCAGATTAATCAATTATTAAACTTCTTCCTGGCGAGCTAAGAAAGTTAGTGAAAAAGTTTTGGAATAAAAGCTCGAGTCATTGTAAACTATTTAGCTCTACTTGCGCTTCGTGCCAACAAATATATTTAAGATGGATTAAATATTTATACTCTCCATATTATGACCAGTTGCTCTTAAGTAATGCCTTTTTTTTGCTATTTGCTCCGAAGCTATCTCCATTTTTCCAATTTTAAAAAGCAGTTTCATAGCTGTCAACATTTTATAGTCCTAAACATTTACTTGTGTCATAGTTCTCAACATTTTATAGTTTCATAATTTTAAACATTTAATTGTTTTTCATTTCTAAACGTTTCATAAATTCATAGTTTTTAACATATCATAGTTTACTTGTAAATATTTCATATTTTTATGTTTAATAGCATTTCATTGCTTCACAATGTAATTTCGTAGTTTCATTGTTGTCAACATATTATAGTATCATGATTGGTAATACTTCATAGTTTCGTAATTGATTGGAGTTACATAGCTGTTAACATTGCATAGTTCCAGAGTGATAACATTTCATAGTTTGTATATGATAACCTGTCATAATTTATATATGATAGCATGTTATAGTTTATATATGATAACATGTCATTGTTTATATCTGATAGCATGTCATAGTTCACATCTGATTGTATGTCATAGTTTATATAATAGCATGTCAGAGTTTATAAATGATAGCATGTCATAGTTTACATCATATAGTATGTCATAGTTTCACAGTTATGGCGTCAGAAGATCTGAAGCATATAAGATGCGAGCAAGCAAGCTACGTCTTGGTTACGCATCCAGAGGCTCCAGCGAGCGCCGCGCGGTGCCAGCGTCTCCAGGAGTGCCAATATTGTGGCACCGCTGCGCCCATTGCTGCTGATGCCCACACGCTGAGCATTAGATTTGCCGCTGCTGAGCTGTGCAGAACATCAGGATAATCAGCAGTAGATTTGCCGCTGCTGAGCTGTACAGAACATCAGGATAATCAGCAGTAGATTTGCCGCTGCTGAGCTGTGCAGAACATCAGGATAATCAGCAGTAGATTTGCCGCTGCTGAGCTGTAGATTTGCCGCTGCTGAGCTGTGCAGAACATCAGGATAATCAGCAGCAGGCTTGCCACTGCTGAGCTGTGCAGAACATCAGGACAATCAGCAGCAGATTTGCCGCTGCTGAGCTGTAGATTTGCCGCTGCTGAGCTGTAGATTTGCCGCTGCTGAGCTGTAGATTTGCCGCTACTGAGCGTTACAGAACATCAGGTTAATCAGCAGTAGATTTGCCGCTGCTGAGCTGTGCAGAACATCAGGATAATCAGCAGCAGGCTTGCCGCTGTTGAGCTGTGCAGAAAATCTGGATAATTAAAATTACTGAATTACTGAATTTTAACTTTATCGTGTAGCGTGTATTGGAAAATATTCAATTAGCCGAGTTAAGGTTTCATAAATTGTTGACTGAAAGCTTTGAAAGACAAGATATTTGAGCTCAAGCTTTAGTAACACATAAATTTTCCTTCAGATTTATTTGTCAACGTTTAGAGATGAATCGCCGTTCTGAATATTTCATCAAATAATGTAGGGGGAACAAGAAAGATAAAACGGTTTGACAGGCGTTTCACCTCATATATTGTCAATTTATTTCTTTCAAATGACGCGTGCTGATATTTTTTATACGTGTTGGACGAAAGACCTTGACCATAATATCCACTTAACACAAATCATTATCTGCTCGAAAGAAATATCAAGATAAAAGAGCATCATATAAGCAGGTGTCCAGCATGCATTTGAGTCGTGTCATGTCATCCGAGGCGTCAGTTCTCAGCGTCAACGTCCTACGAATGCATTCTTTTATGTCATATCCTTAATATTCTTAACTCTTTCCCTAAATTTAATCAAGCTATAAACTCTGACAAACAAACCTTTAACAAATATACGTATTATTCTTAACGAAACACATGAATTCATTATTATTAAAATCTAAATTATGAGTGAGACTTGATCCTATTATATTACATTGCACTTATAACGTTCCCGTCCTCTAATCAAATCCCAGACAAGCTCAAACTTCACCACAACCAAATAGCGTGAATTCCCACTCAATGAGCAAAATTCCGGCAAATAAGCAATGAAATATATTACTTGAATAATTATTAAATTGAATCCTAAATAAAATAAAAGACATGATGAAGCTGTATTTCAGTCTGATCGTTTGTGTTGTGATGTCGCAAGCCCGCGCCGCCATCATGCCCAGCTTCGTCCACCTCGGTTTCTGCTCCGACGTTCCGCGGATGCCGGAATTTGACATAGAAAAAGTCAGAGGAATGAGGATTATGTCTTTTATTTGGAGTAGTTTTACTCATTGCTAGTATAGTGTGAAATTTTTATTTTAATAATTTCCTGATTTCAATGGTAAAAATTCATAAAAATTTTAATGTTTATTGAAATATTTACTGCCAGTTATTGTCTGTACAACTCATTAGCTCGTACCTTTTGTTAGCACGTGAAACTTTTGTAACTCGGACTTGAATGTTTACAGTAGCGAGCGCTTGCGTTATATCTCGATGCGTCACACAAATTCATAATGCCTTATTATGTCAATATACATGAATAATGCCTTATTATGTCACTCAATTCATAATGCCTCTGTATATTGACGAAAATGGATTATACATATAAATTTCAAGTATATGCATTATAACTTCATATATCAATTTTATGCACTATACCTAAGAGTAAGCATTTACCTGAATGTAATCACGAATCTACTGCATGTTTAAAACTTGTTGGTAAGATGAATAAAATCGAGATTGCATCTCATTCAGGCTATAATTTAGTGATCTAGGTATTAATATGAATTAAATTGAGTGCCCCCAGAAGTCATGAAGTTCATATGTGTGCAGTACTCGGAACGCTGGTACGTCATCCTGCAAGTGCCCAACGAGTTTGTCCCAGCCAAGCATTGCGTCACGACCAACTACACGAGCATTACCAGCGGTGAGACTGTACACATCATCGTCTGGAATTAACCCTCTACCGCCTGAGATGTGTAACGAGCAATATTGTCACAAGCCTACTTTCCAGAAAGGATACGTTCCAGTGAGCGCAAAATGACTTGCAGTGATGGCTGCTTCCACGTACGGCAACTTTAAAATGTTCTCTGTTGCGTACAAACGTCCTTAGGTTGTTACAAAGAATATATTACGGATGATTGTATGTTCCCGGAGAGTGACCTACGGCGGTAGAGGGTTGCACACAAATATATTACAATAAAATAGATCTCCCAGCAAAATGTTCTGCACATTCACTATCTAAATTCATCTTTACGTTTGTTCAGTATGTGAGTATTGTGAATTCTGATCCACACTTTTCTCTATGGCAATTTGATAGAATGCACTGCCATTCAGTGCAATTTAGTCACGCTGTCAATATGATCTACAGTCTGACCAATATCAGTTGATGATCTAAATGTATTGGTGTCAACGACCAGCCTTTCTGAATATTCTGCTTGCGATTTACAATTATTCTACTTTATATACCGTCCTTCTTGTTAGATGGAACATTCACGAGCAGAAAAAGCGGTTACGCCGACAACCGAACTGTGATCCACTCTCTGGTAGACCTGCAGTTGGTCGACCATGACTACCACACTTTCGTCATACAAGCGCAGGACGAACGGCCAGAGATCGGCGTCACGGTGAACACATATTCATTATTTTCATTTTATGATACCATTTCCTGATACTATTGTATAATACTATAACGTGATGCCATGGCATGCTACCATTACATAATACCATTGCATGCTACCATTGTATAATACTATTGCATGATGCCATTGCATGCTACCATTACCTGATACCATTACATTATACTATTACATGATACCATTTCTTGAAACCAGTACAAGATACTCTGAATTTTATCAATGATAAGATCTTGGACTGCGAGAAAATGTGCTTAGAAATAGCCATTAGGTTCAATTTGAATACAATTGGTTCATTTAATTCAGAATCCATCCCTCCCGTTATTTTTACATCTGCTAGACATGAACTGAATTAAAAAAATCCTACAATATTTCACTCTCTACTCAGGTTGAATATGAAATATACTCTACTTAATATTGGATCATTTTCACTGCTTCAAAACGCCCACCACACACACATATAAATACTGACTGCTTGTTTTGAGGAAAATGCTATGAACAACGAAAAAATCTCAACCCAGTATCAGTATTCAAAATATTCCACTCCTGAATTTTAATAAAGTTTCGATAATAATTCAATCATTAGGCTGAATTCTTTTGCCATCTATGTTTCATATGTTTTGCTCCATAAACAAAACATATTCAAAAAATTAAATAAAAGCATTTCACGAGAATGTCATCTTGGTTTATAAACATGGTTCATAATGCATTCAACAATTTTAAATATTGTGATACGAGTCCGCCGTTAAACTCATTTCTTTAGTTATTCAATATCAACATGATTCATCAGAGCATTAAAAAATAAAAAAAAAACGAGCAATAAAGTACTGCTGTAAATTATGGAAGACCTGGCAATCCAAACTTTAATGAACAAATGTCCACTTACCTGAAATACGAGTAACTGACGTCAAATACAACACAAATATAACAAGTAACTGAGGCTAAATTACAGAACAAATTCAATGTCAACAATGTGCGTGGCAGTGAACTAACATTATATACCGGTAGTGGTTTTAAGACCATGAGACTTATTAATACCGATAAAGTGTTTGAAGCAGTCCTTTTAACACTGGAGCGTCTAAATGGTCTAAAATAAATGAGATCTAAAATATCTAATGAACATTATTTATATATAAATGATTCTTAAAATGTTAGCACAAATTGCAGGTGGTGGACACCGACTACGAGAACTACGCGTGCCTGTATTCGTGCCTGCAGAGGTTCACGTTCAAGGCAGAGTTCGTGTGGGTGCTGAGCCGTGCGCCTGTCGTCACGCAGAGCTTCGTGAGGCGCTGTCGTGAACTCATCACGACAGAGTCTGGCTTCGACTGGCGCAGGCTGCACATGGTCGAACAGGGAGAGGTCAGACAATAAACTTTTTATAATTGAATATAATTATGTTACTCTGGAAGATAAGTACTATTTAATTCTATTACAGTAACTATTTCGTTCTATCATATAATGTTTTCAAATATTTGTATTTGTTATCGATGATATAATCAATTGCTTGGGTGGCCCAGTGGTTACAGTTCAGAGTACCAAGATTGGCGCAGAGAGGCGCGGGTTCGATCCCAGCTCTGTGCGCCAGTTTCTGGTCAGAATCGGCGAGGAGGCCGGGCGGTTAAGCAAAAGCAAAAATTGAAGCAGTGAGTTGCGAAGTTCGATCCCGCAACAAGCTGTGGATGTTCTGCGATGTTCAGAATCGGCGACAGACCTATGGCCTAATAAACGCTGGAACCGCTATTACTATTACTATTACTATGAGCTGCCGTTAATAAAATTGATGTCATCATATCTTCATTTGGAACACTTAGTCGAACGGACCATATTTTGAGAATCAATTTTGAGATTAATCATTTATCAAGTCCTTTACTCTATTGTGCCGGATTTCTTATATGGCCAAGAAACTCGGATTTAATTGAGGAGCTTGCATGAGAGATCTTCGATATAATAAATAATATTATTGCATAAATTAGCTCATTGCTTCAATCCTTCAGACCTGCCCGTACTGGGAAGACCATTTGCAGGAGCAAAGCAAAGAATCCCTGGAATCAAAAACAGAACTACAAAATATGGTGAGTTTTTCTGTAGCTTTAAATGATCCAAATTGTGTACATATTTCCTGCGTTCATAAATTGTATTTTCTAAGTATTTGATAGATTTTAGAGCAACTTCAAACTAAATCTGATATACTGAGTGGCCAATCTATGTGAGAATTCAGCGAAATCCAGTATGCAATAGGCCGGAAATTACCTATTCAGAGCTGACTCTACAACTGTTAATTCTTACTTCTGAACCTTGAAGTTGTTTTCTTATTTGTACCATTTTCAATCACATATTTCTTGAAACTTAGACTCACTGTATGTAATTTTCTTGTCATTTAACAGAAGCTAAATTATTTCTCACTTCTCGGAAACATTCCTCAAAATAATTTAAGAATTTTTCTGGGACATAAGAATTTGCCGCAATCAATAGCCAATGCAACTGAAAATTTAATATAAATAAATTTCTGAAGGTAAACGCCGTCGACGATGAGGTGAAGGCGATAATCAACGAAGAAATCGAATTTCAGGAGGACGACATTTTTTATTACCATTCATCATCTGGACCCCAAAATACCGGCTTTGATTTTAGACTCTTTTTTATCGCCATTGCAATCCTCTTTTTCTGAGATCTACTATTGTGCACCTAAAAATTCAAGTCTATATATAGTATTTCCTATTTCAAATATTCACTTCCCACGCCCGTATCAAATTTTCATTTTAATTTAATTATCAGTAATTACTAGAGCTTCGGAATAGATTTATCTGCACATAAATATGGGCAAATATATTTATCTGTCAGTGTGTTTTGTTCTATTATAAATATAATTTCGCAACAATTTCATTGATTCCTTGACCTTACAAATGGCAGCCCTTAAGATTTTCCGTATAATACCGAGGAGTTTGTCTGGGAGGTGAAAATCTCATCGCAGATTCGGAAGGAATTCTAGTGCACCGTTGATACTTGTATTTATTTTATTAGGGCGCAAAGTTATTCGATTTCCCATTAAATATTCTATAAAATATGTGAATATCTATGCTTACAATATTTAAATCATACTACAGACAATAATTAATTTCTTTGAATACATCAATTGCTTGTTGTACAGTTCCTATCAAATGAATGAGTTAACGTTAAAATTCAGTACTTTACTTATAAAAATAACGATCATACTTGAAAAAATTTTATCGCTTGTGTTCCATCCATCATATGGAAATATTTTTTATTTTAAATCATGTTTTCTATTATTATGTATTGCGTGTTCCTGTGCGAATAAACAAAGTATCAATAATGATCAAATGTAGAAAAACTTTAATGCTCTCATTAAGATTGGGTTGGTAAACGAGGTACCGATAAACACGTTTCCATTGTCGCCACGTGACCTGTAACTAAAGAAGCAAGCAGACATAACAGTTCAGACTCCATTGAGATAAAGTCTTTGGGAGGAAACCTGCCTCTTGCCTTTATCAGGGATAATTGAGCGCACAACTGTCGTGCTGCGTGCAGCTTGAACATCAAAATTAAACGAACTGATAAAGCTTATAAAATATATTGATAATGGCATGATAGCTAAAAAATTATTTTGTGACCTTTATAGATAAATTTCTATGAGGCTTTTGAATCACTGAAGGTGAAAGATTACAGGGCTAAGAAAAATGTTGAAATTATTAGGTGAAATACATTAGTAGTTGAAAATAATGAAATTATTTATCTACACAAACACGGGTCACAATGAAATATTTTTCGGCTTCAACATCGACAAAATTTTTTTTTATAATTTCCTCGCTGTTCGTCATTGGATCAGAACAAAGTGATGAAAAATGGAGCGCAAGTTTCAAACTAGAATGAATGCACAAAACGCCAACCAACTGCACCGCACATATTGGTATCGCTGCAAGAACAATATTTGATGATTTTATAATATTTGAATGGTTCTCTAATATCAACAATATTTGATGATCAGCAGCAGGCTTGCCGCTGCTGAGCTGTGCAGAACATCAGGATAATCAGCAGCAGGCTTGCCGCTGCTGAGCTGTGTAGAACATCAGGATAATCAGCAGCAGGCTTGTCGCTGCTGAGCTGTGTAGAACATCAGGATAATCAGCAGCAGGCTTGTCGCTGCTGAGCTATGCAGAACATCAGGATAATCAGCAGCAGGCTTGTCGCTGCTGAGCTGTGCAGAACATCAGGATAATCAGCAGCAGGCTTGCCGCTGCTGAGCTGTGCAGAACATCAGGATAATCAGCGTCCAAATTAGCTCTGCCCGCGGGGGGAAATTCCAACTTGGCTTTAGTTTCATGGTAGCCATGAACTTGGATGAAGGAGGCGACAGTTTACGGAGAGTTGTGAATTTTTCATCTCATGTTGCAAACTTCATAAGGATTGTAGCTTTGGTTGTATCTTTGATTGTGACTTTGATTGTGTCTTTGATTGCGTCTTTGATTGAGTCTTTTTAAATTGATAGAATTGCAGTCAATTGCATTGTATCGATTGACTTTGTTCCCATTTGATTGTATCAGTTGGCTGTAAAGATCAAGTTTATTGTAATAAACTCGATCTTTATCGTTCTTGTGAGAAAATCATCAAATATTGATTGAAAATCCGATACACAATTTAGATATACTGTATATTGCTTTGTTCTTGCAGCGATACCAATATGTGCGGTGCAGTGGGTGTTTTGTGCAATCATACTAATTTGAAACTTTTGGAACTTGGGCTTTATTTTTACTTGCTTTGTTCTGATGCAATGGTGAACTTCGAGGAAATTATAGAAAAAATTGGTCGATGTTGAAGCCGAAAAATATTTCGTTGTGGCCCGTGTTTGTGTAATAACAACTACTTATTAAAAACAACTACTTATTACTCATTATTTTCAACTACTTTTTCACTTAATAATTTCAACATTATCTTAGCCTTGTAATCTTTCACCTTCTGTGATTCAAAGCCTCATAAGAATTTGGCTTTTGAGGTCCCGAAATAATTTTTTTTGTTAGCTATCATGCCATTATCAATATATTTTATAAGCTTTATCAGTTCGTTTAATTTTGATGTTCAAGCTGCACGCAGCACGACAGTTGTGCGCTCTACTGATAATTAAATTAAAATGAAAATTTGATACGGGCGTGGGAAGTGAATATTTGAAATAGGAAATACTATATATAGACTTGAATTTTTAGGTGCACAATAGTAGATCTCAGAAAAAGAGGATTGCAATGGCGATAAAAAAGAGTCTAAAATCAAAGCCGGTATTTTGGGGTCCAGATGATGAATGGTAATAAAAAATGTCGTCCTCTTGAAATTCGATTTCTTCGTTGATTATCGCCTTCACCTCATCGTCGACGGCGTTGACCTTCAGAAATTTATTTCTATTAAATTTTCAGTTGACTTGGCTATTGATTGCGGCAAATTCTTATGTCCCAGAAAAATTCTTAAATTAATTTGAAGAATGTTTCCGAGAAGTGAGAAATAATTTAGCTTCTGTTAAATGATAAGAAAATTACATACAGTGAGTCTAAGTTTCAAGAAATATGTGAATGAAAGTGGCACAAATAACAAACCAACCTCAAGGTTCAGAAGTAAGAATTATCAGTTGTAGAGTGAGCTCTGAATAGGTAATTTCCGGCCTATCGCCGATACTGGATTTCGCTGAATTCTCGCAGCTTGCAAGGCTTTGAACCCGCAAATTTCTGCTCCCATCAATGACTTGTCCACCCTGCCTTACAGTACCATAGATTGGCCACTCAGTATATCAGATTTAGTTTGAAGTTGCTCTAAAATCTATCAAATACATAGAAAATACAATTTATGAACGCAGGAAATATGTACACAATTTGGATCATTTAAAGCTACAGAAAAACTCACCATATTTTGCAGTTCTGTTTTTGATTCCAGGGATTCTTTGCTTTGCTCCTGCAAATGGTCTTCCCAGTACGGGCAGGTCTGAAGGATTGAAGCAATGAGCAAATTTATGCAATAATATTATTTAATATATTGAAGATCTCTCATGTAAGCTCCTCAATTAAATCCGAGTTTCTTGGCCTTATAAGAAATCAGGAACAATAGAGTACAGGACTTGATAAATTATTAATCTGAAAGTTGATTCTCAAAATATGGTCCGTTCGACTAAGTGTTTCAAATGGAGATATGAAGACATCAATTTTATTAACGGCAGCTCATAATTGATTATATCACCGATAACAATTACAAATATTTGAAAACATTATATGATAGAACAGAATAGTAATTGTAATAGAATTAAATAGTACTTATCTTCCAGAGTAACATAATTATATTCAATTATAAAAAGTTTATTGTCTGACCTCTCCCTGTTCGACCATGTGCAGCCTGCGCCAGTCGAAGCCAGACTCTGTCGTGATGAGTTCACGACAGCGCCTCACGAAGCTCTGCGTGACGACAGGCGCACGGCTCAGCACCCACACGAACTCTGCCTTGAACGTGAACCTCTGCAGGCACGAATACAGGCACGCGTAGTTCTCGTAGTCGGTGTCCACCACCTGCAATTTGTTCTAACGTTTTAGGAATCATTTATATATAAATAATGTTCATTAAATATTTTAGGCCTCGTTTATACACAAATAAACTTCGTATTGGCATGACGCTCAAGTGTTAAAAGGTCTGGCATCAAACTTATTTATCGGTATTAATACGAGTTATTAATAATTAATAAGTTTCAACGTCTTAAAACCACTGCTGGTATGTAATGTTAGGTCACTGAAACATACATTGTTGACATTTAATATTCTCTGTAATATTGCCTCTGTTACTTGTTATACTTGTATTGTATTTATTACGTAGTATTTGATGTCAGTTACTCGTATTTCAGGTAACTGAACATTAATTTGTTCTCTAGAGTTTGGATTGCCAGGTCTTCCACAATCTACAGCAGTATTTTATAGCACATTTTTTATTTTTTTTTATTGCTTTGAGGAATCGTGTTGGTGTTAAGTAACTAATGAAAAGAGTTTAAGGGCAGACTCACATAACAATATTTAAAATTATTGAATGCATTATGAACCGTGTTTATAAGCCAAGATGGCATTCTCGTGAAATTCAATTTATTTATTGAATATGTTTTCTTTATGGGGCAAATATATGAAACATAGATGGCAAAAGAACTCAGCCTAGTGACTGATTGATTATTGAAACTTTATGAAAATTCAGGAGTTGAATATTTTGTATCCCGGCTTCGGTTTGACATTTTTTGTTTTTGAAAACATTTTCCTCCAAAAATGCAGTCTGTATTTTTATGTGTGTGGGGTGGACATATTGATGCAGTGAAAAAGATCCACTATTAACAAGAATATATTTCATATTGAACATGATTAGAGAGTGCAATATTGTAAGATTTTTGAATTCAGTGTATGTCTAGCAGCTGTAAAAATAACGGGAGGGATGGATTATGAATTGAATAAACCAATTGGATTCAAATTGAATGAGATGGCTTTTTCCAAGCAGATTTTCTTGCAGTCCATGATCTTATGATTGATAAAATTTCGAGTATCTTGCAATGGCTTCAATAAATGGTATCATTTAATGGTATAATATAATGGTATCAGGTAATGGTATCTTGTAATGGTATCATTTAATGGCATCTGGTAATGGTGTCATATAATGGCTTCAAGGAATGGTATCATGGAATGGTATTGTTCAATGGTATCGTATAATGGTATAATATAATGGTATCAGGTTATGGTAGCTTGAACTGGCATCACGTTATAGTATTATACAATGGTAGCATGCAATGGCATCATGCAATAGTATTATACAATATGGTAGCATGCAATGGTATTATGTAATGGTTGTTGTTGTTGTTTCTTGCGCCAAAAACGTCACGCTCGCGTGGGCGGAGGCTCTGGTGGTGGTCGGAGGGGAGGTGCCGGAAGAGGGGGAAGATGGGCGAAAGCAGGGAGGGTGACCAGGAACGTCGCCGACTCCACAGGGTTGTCCCACAAAGATGAGACGCTGAGGGATGTGGGGAAGGCGGGGCAGGCGAAGAGGTGCTGGACGGATTGGAGGGGATCCCCGCACTCCGGGCAAGCGGCGCTAAGGGAGCGTCCGACCCTGTGGGTGTAGGACGCAAGGGAGCTGCAGTATCCCGAGCGTAGCTGGGATAGCGCTGAGCGGTAAGGACGAGGGAGCGAAGCCTCTTCTGCAGCAATCGGTGGTGGTGGGGTTGA